AAAAATCCCTGGACATGAGCCTGCCTCTCTGGGATAATCTGGAAGGCGCTTCTCTGGGCCGCGGATTCCTCTGTTTGAGTTCCTCGATAATGCTTCCGCACGTCGAACTCACCAGCAATGCTTTCAGGGCCGCCTGTCTCCGTTGGAACAGCGGATGTCAACCCACTGGGCGTCTCCAAACCACTAGGAGTTTGCATTCCCGTGTCCACATCCTCATCACCATCCCCAACACTGCTAGCTGCGTCTTCTTCATCGTCATCGCTCTCATCGTCACTTAACTCCGGTGCCTGCAATTCGCCCCAAAGATCCTTCTCCACAGGCTCACCCTGCTGGACAGCCTGCTGAGGCTGTAGAACACCGAAGATGTCACCACCGTAGAGGGGCCTATTATGCTCATCGACCGGAGGCTTTCCATACCCACCCGGGTGATATCCCCACATCGCGCCTGGAGGCGGGGGAGCGTTCAGACCTGGTATTTTGAGAGCAGGATAGGACGGAGGCGGACCATACCGTTGTTGATTGATCAACCATGGAGGTGGGGCACCCGGGGGCATATTCAAAGCCTCTTTTAACTCAGCACTAAGCTCTCCAGGCCGAAGATGTCTTAGATTAGTCTCATATTCCTTGCCCTCGTAGTAGACCTCCCCGTAACGTGTGAGTTCTGGCTTTGTTTGAAATCGAAAAAATGCTTCATAGAGCTTCTGGTAATCGATATCCAACCTTCCCATCTTCGGCTGAACCCTCTCTCTTTGCTTTTGTTTTAAAGTCGCCTGCTCTTGCTTCTCTAAAGCAGCATCACGCATCTCAGATATCCCCGTTTCCTGAATGAACTTCGGCAATGCAAATGGAGCCTTTTCAACTCCTCGTTTCGAGGATAAATATTCTCGCTTCAATGACCAGTGCGCTGGTACAGGCACAACGTTTCGATGCGATTTGAGGTGAACAAGCAGCCTTGGATCGGGCGCTGATGTGTCTGTCCATTCGACAATCTCTGGCTTTCGAACCATTGCCTTCAATTCGGCGACAGAAAGTTTGTTCAACTCCTTCCGTTTTCGTCTTGACAAAATAGGCTCTTTCGCCTCTTCGTCCGGGATTTCATTATCGTCGTCGAAATAAATAATAGGTCTGGGAAGCTCCTTTGTTTCCGATCTTCCATCCTCGGAGTCTTCAAATTTGCCAATGACATCCTTATACAAATGCCATAGTGAATCATCTCTCTCCGAAGCTATGATACTTTGGAAGTTTTGCGAAATAACTTCGGGTCCAGGGAGCGAAGGGTCGTCATGGCCCGCGGATTGCCCATTAGGCGTGCCGCGGATAATCTCGGTCGAATTAGCCTGTACAAAGCGCGGATCAATTGACAATGTCGTTGCTAGGCTTTGAATCGAAAACGTACCTGAGACTTCAGAGCTTTCTTCTTTGCTCTTCTCAGCTGATTTTTACTGGCTTTCATAGCTGGCTGTCAGTATGATTAGAACACCGGTTGTTCTTCTCTTGGCTTCGCAATAACCTGCTAAGGGATGCAACCGATAAGCTAGAAAAGCTGTGTGAATTGCGTAGTATTGGTAGGTAGGTCAATAGGCTAGGTTCTCGTGCTTAGGAGTAGGGCGGCGAGGAAGTTGCGTGGTCCGCAAGTGTTCCAGCCACTAACGCAATTCGAATCACGTGGCATTCTCACTCTCGGATAAGAGGTAGTCTAGCTAGGGATTCTAATTGTACGCTTAATGCAAATGTTCTTGGGGACTACGAGACATCGGTACCCTTTGCAAAGACCAGATATGATTTGGGATCTCAAGCCGCAATTTTCTGCGCTGCGTCAAAACTTCAGATGTACGGGGTTTGTGATTGAAAGTGTGATTGACTGTGATTGACCCATTGAACATCTATTGTCGACTACATAGACCCCCAGAGGCCCGATGTTTGTGATTTGGGTCTCTTCAGTGTTTTGTCCAGTAATCAAGCACACATGCAATAATTTACAATAAACCGGGCTCGGAACGATGCCATGCCTATTCCACGGCAGGAGGTAAACAGGATGTCTCAATTCCAATGATCTAGACGTGCAGTCTGCGATATGTGCTAATGGTAGACTATTTCTTCTTCTTGGCGGACCGCGATTCTATGGTTTTGAATGAGATCGTGTCTCTCGCATATTGCAGCCATCAAGTTGGTAAGACTTACCTGCGGCGGTTCTCTTTTTCTTTGGTCTACCTTTCCCTCGTAACTTGGCACTGTTGACACCGGTAAGAATGGTTCCAGAGGATTGTCAGGGAACATACATCTGGATGGCTTCTTCCCGATCATCTTCCCCTTCATCAAACATTGTCAAGCCCAGGGGCTTGTATGTGGCTTGCAAATCTCGGAAAGAGACGGTTTTCTTGGGATACCATGCCGAAAGACTGGGACCGCGCAGTCTTTGACGTAGGACCTTGTTTCCCAGGCGTAGCCTCTCCGGATTGAAGTTTAGTGAGAAGATCCGGCACTGGACCTGCCGAGAGGTGAGTTGAAGTCCACAACGAGTATGATGAGGGCTAGGAAAGAAGCAAATATCTTTGGCACAATTTATATCTTCCCTGAATCAACGTACCTTTGCCAGCTCTAATACTCGGCTGTATTGGGTGGCCATCTCTGGGCAATCGGGCAATAGCCACTGAGATGGAGTTACAAACTGCGCCTAAGACTGTACCCCGTATCTACTTTTGAAGCCACGCCACGTGACCGGGGTATTTTTCCAAACCCGAAATGATCTATGCAGTCACAATGTTTGGCTTGTACACAAATCCCCCAACATGCCTTCGAAAAGGAAGTCTGTCTTTTCCCCAGCATCCACTGATAATGATAAAAAGACAAAGGTGACCCACAGCTCTAAATACCGGACTTGTATGTTTTGAATTCTGACAATAGCAGCGCAATGCACCAGAACGCGCCCAACATCCACCCATCTTGCGTGGGCAGCATGATAAAGCATTTTCTGACCTGAAGGCTGTGGTTCGCGACGCTATCGACAACCGCAGCCTTTCAATGATCACGAACAGTCAGGCAGCTTCAAATATTATGAGGCTTCTCACAGAGCTCGATGCCGCCCTATGTCACGAAGAAGTCCATGTTCCTTCATCCAACAGTTCACAGGATCAGAATTCCCAGATCATAGCAAACAAGCATAATTCCCAGCTCCCGGATCTGCCTCGGATCTCGGATAGCGCCCTCCGAAACGCGGTTTTCACGCATCCAGGCACGAAGAATGACATCGGCGCCACATACGATCGCCTTGAAGTCCTTGGCGATGCGTACATTGAAGTCATATCCACGAGACTTATTTGGGACAAGTTTCAGGATATATCATCTGGTCGAATATCGCAGATCCGTGAGACACTCGTAAGAAATGATACATTAGCCGAGTTTGCAACAAGATATGGATTTGACACCAAAGCCTCTGTGCCGTCGCACTACGCGGATCAACCAAAAAGGTGGACAAAAACAAAGGCGGACATTTTCGAAGCATATGTCGCGGGTCTCGTCTTGTCTAGTCCAAGCGACGGCTATGGTATAGCTGAAGAATGGTTGACAAAGCTGTGGTTGCCGATGCTTGAGCGACTTGGCGACCAAAGGTCTACTTTGCATGCCAAGGAAGCGCTTGCTAAGAAGATCATGGGAAAGGGCGTCAAGCTTCGTTACGCTGATGAACGCGCTCCCTCGCCGCAAGGGAAGGGGACACAGCTCTTCTATGTTGGGGTATATCTTACCGGATGGGGCTGGCACAACAAGCATCTCGGTTCCGGCCAGGGTACTAACAAGGCTATCGCAGGGGACGAGGCAGCCCGACAGGCATTACTTAATGTCCAACTAATTGACGAGATTGTTAAAATGAAGAAAGCAGAGACATTACCCAAATTTTGAAGGTTCTCTTCCAGCTTGTTGGCCGCAGTTGTTGTTGCAACTGGCAACTTTACTGTATCAATTACCAACTAAGATTGCAGAGCACAGAGCACCTAAAAGCCCTTGAACTACCTAATATGCACAGGCTGCGATGATGCTCGTTGATTACGAAGTCAGCCGCCAACGAATGCCTGGACGAATATCCTAAGCGATAATCTCACTTGTCAACTATCTAGCATTATACCTCTTGGATCAAGTATATGTAACCATTACGTGTATCTAGTTAAACGGTATCCAGAACATATACATATAGTTATATCATGAATGTATAACCTAAACCTTAGCTCGTCTTTAATCCTGGTCCCGGGGCAGATCATGCTCAGCAATTGCCTGTGAGACAATATACATAGATTCTCGAGCTGGGAGGGCATCCTTTAGTATGCTTTTAGTCATACGAATAGATAACTATATACTTGTACATTCCAATTACGATAAACCTATTCACGTGGTTTCTGTATCACCGAAATAACTCGTGATTGGAAGCCTTCATCTGATATACTGAGTACATGCCCATAGTACATGGTACGAGTACTGTGAGTAGCAGAGGGAATAACTTTTAATGATCATTTGTGGGTTGGTACACCCAAGAACTACTAACCTACTCCATGCTCTGTACATATTTTGAAACCCGAGTAGTAAACCTGCAGCCCGGCGATTACGCCAATCAGCTCAGATGATGCATACTTTGTCGGGTACCACACACACCGCCAAGTGGATTCATTGCCCCTCACCGGAAGTGGCCAAATCAGAAAAAGCATTGAATTGAAGTGAAAGCTTCAGGCGCACACACATTTTCTATTACAAGGTACAGTACAGAGTACAGTACATATGACCAGCAATGATGACCCCGCTTTTCCAAGGTGGTTGTCGTCATGTGGCATATCATCGACCGACCCGCCCCATCATATGGTATGCCCCATAGCATCATCGTTTCTGCTGCTAACGTGCGAGTGTAGTGACACATAACACATCAGTGATAAGTGATTTCTTCCCCTGACTTTTGCAGGTCATCAGGTTCACAGCCTCCACACAATCAACTTCCTGATTATCATAGACCAAGGTACTGGCTCACTGGCTCTACATGAAATATTTGCCTCCCAATGCCGCCACGCGCCAACCCCGCAATCCCATGAGCGCTGCTGAATTTGCTTCTATTAGTCCCTCAGCCCCCAGCCATCGGCGCGTTGACTCATACTTACCTTAGCCTGTTTTTGGAAAAGGGGTTCATAGGAAGTAAGAAAGATCAAATTCCGCTGGTTTAAAGATCTCGTGAGCCCTCTTTGCGAACCCTTTTCCCCCATAGCGCAAGGCAACAGCAGGAAATATTTGTCCTCGCCTTATACCTAGTATCCATTCATCTCGGCCATTGTGAGCCTTATCGCCGAGACCCAAATCATACCTGCTTATTGCCACCAGACAAAGAGGGCGCCCTGACAAATCAACAGCACGTGTGTTTTGCCAGCATTGATCAGGTCTCAATTCCATTGACTTCCATTAACACCCTATCAATATCCATAGCACCTTTCCGCCTTGTACTCGAAGATTACATTTACCCAGGGCTGACCTTAAAAGCAGTGATCTCTGCTTTCAACAACATTTCCTATAAACCCTAAACTTTGACTCACCCTTGCCCGTGCCTGTGACCGGGGCCTGGGAATCTTTCCCCGTGATGACCTCACTCAGTACTGCCTCGTCGCTAAAACCAAGCGACAAGGCCAAAATGAGTCGTCTCCCATCCGTTTCCAGTCTGATGTCGCCTCCAGAGTCGAAACCTCTGGAGGTCTTCAATCCGACTACGATGTCCAGTTTCACACTGTCGCAGGATCCAGCATATAGTCATAGTATGGAACTTCCTCCTATCCCAGGCAATCGGAAGCGTACTCAATCAGAAATGGACTTGCCATCCCCTCCTGTTACGCCCTATGCTGGAACTAAAAAGAGGAAATCATATGTCTCCGAACAAATTGACAAAGATGCTGTTGGCACTTCCAGAGATCCTCTTCTATTCCCCCGACATGAATCTATAAATGACATTGCCACTGACGAACCTTTGTTTGGGCCCATGCTTCCCAACACCGCGGAAGCGTTGGTCAACCAACATATCAATTCTCACATGGCGATGTTCGAGAACAAACTAAATAAGCCGACGCGCGACGAGTATCTTCTAGCTCTTTCATGCGTACCGATCGTATCTTCGCAATTCAATCGCAATCCAGCAGCATGGGCTAAAGAGGAGCGAGAGACATTAGAGCGTCAATTGTTACTGATGAACCGATGTCGCCCACGGTCAATCGAGTCCAAGTTGAAGACACTGGCACCAGCACCAGCGAAAAGGGCGCTGGCTGCACAGCCTCGTGTTCAACGGGCCTCTAGAGTAAAGCGAACACCGAAGTCTACACCAAAGCAGAAAATCCTTGAGAGTTTTGACCTCCCGCCATCAAGCGCGAGGCAAGCTCGCACTATAGGAACTAATCGAGACGATATCGACTATAGCTCCATCCAAGATTTTTCTCCTTCGATAGAGACTCTTGGTGGCAATGCAAAGGCGCTGAAAGCAGACTGGAAAGGGCAGGTGTTAGACCTCAGTCTCGACCCTGACAGGGATCTACTCAGTTCAGCAGAGCTTAGCCTGGCAGCAACCTTGAGGCTCTCATGCGCAACGTATTTGTGCAGCAAGCGGCGGATCTTCGAAGCTAGAGTCAAGGCCTTAAATGTTGGTAAGGAGTTTCGAAAGACAGACGCCCAACAGGCCTGCAAGATCGACGTGAACAAGGCAAGCAAACTGTGGACTGCTTACGAACGCGTGGGCTGGTTCAACCCAGAACATTTTCAGCAGTATCGACAACAGTAGGGCTTGGAATCTCAACTTATCTCTTACATCGAAGACGTCTTACTACCGCCTTTCCTCCTGGGTAATAAGCAATCCGGTATTCGAAGTTTGGCAGTGCATCATGTTATATCACAGTTGTTCACGCGCTTGTTAACCTCATCACTCACTAACCATGATTGTGGTATATTGCTTAAATTTGCACCTAGACATAGCAGCCTTCCTGTGATCGCATAGAACTTCTTGCCGCCCAGCGATCATTGCGGTGTTCTATGCATTTTATTAACCATTGGTGTTTTATAATTAATACCCCGATTGCTTCAGGCTTCTCCCCATTCCATTTCTGCAATAGTATGTTCATGTCGGCTTGGGTCATGTTGCTACAATCAAGTCTCTGTGCCGCGATTTACTCAAGCCTCCGGCGCGGGGTTGGTCATGTTCATTTAGGGCACATACCTGCCTTTGCTTTCAACCCAGAATCAAGAATATGTATTATCTTGCTAGTAAATTGTCTGCATCGTGCCTAGATTCAATTTATCTACAAACCACGGCCCATATCTAGTATAAAAACCATAGACCATTGTGTAATTCTGACAGATCAAGCAAAATGTATTATTTTGAAGCAAACTAGTTTCAGGACCAGTCAAGCCATGCACAGATGCTGCGGCAGTACGGCAGTTACCCGACTATGGGAACTGGGAAGCTTTACCTGCCAACTACGCAGTTTCCGATTTCCGGATCCTCAATTCCACGCCACCCGGCCCGCCTATGGACATCGTGCAACGCCTGCCTCAACGGGTACTTGAATTGGAACGCATCCATTAGCAATCCGCGTCTTAGGCCCGGCGTCGTATGGGCTCGATCTCATTCGAAATGTCTCACACAGAAGCCACTCGTACGGAGTACAACAATGAAGAGCATGGGGGGTCTGGCGATGACAAGAAGTCCAAGACTAGAAGACCAGCAAGTGAGGACAGCACCACCCTTGGGATAGCATGATTTCAGTCTGATAAAGATGAACAGATACCGCTTTCCGGCAGCAGCGTTTAAAAGCCTGGCAGTGAGGAATCAAACCCGATGGAAACTCAGTCAGCTAAGAAAGCTGACACATGCAGGCCAATCCTGACCCCTAAGAGCGTGTTGCCTCTCTTTTTTGTCATTGGCGTCATTTTCGCCCCGATCGGTGGTCTTCTACTATGGGCCAGCTCGCAGGTATTGGTTTCTTCAACAACTATTACGTCTAGGAGGCTAAAATCCCCCAGGTCCAGGAGATAGTCATAGACTACTCAGAATGCGCCAGCAAGGCATCCTCCCAACCAACCTCAATTTCAGATAGAGTGAAAACCTCGTTCAAATCGAGCAATGAACAATCAACACCGACTTGGCAGAGCCTGAACAAGAATGGGACAACCGTCTGTCGCTTGATTTTCGAAATTCCTGATAAATTAGAACCGCCCGTATTCATGTACTATCGCCTGACCAACTTCTACCAGAATCATCGCAGATATGTCAAATCACTCGATATCGATCAGCTGAAAGGAAAGGCCGTCGACAACGAAACTATCAGTGGAGGATCTTGCGATCCGCTCAAGCTTGACCATTCTGGGAAAGCGTATTATCCATGTGGTCTTATTGCAAATTCGCTATTCAATGACACAATTAGCAGTCCCGAGCTCCTGAACGGCGACGATGCTCAGACATATTACATGACGAATAAAGGTATAGCGTGGGACAGCGACAAGCAGCTGATCAAGAAGACCCAGTACAATAAATGGCAGGTGGTCCCTCCGCCTAATTGGCATGATCGCTATCCTAATGGATACGTTGACGGAATCCCCAATCTTCACGAGGATGAAGAGTTCATGGTATGGATGAGAACCGCAGCATTGCCGGCTTTTAGCAAATTGTCGCGGCGAAACGACACCACAACCATGGCTGCGGGAAGTTACCAGCTCGACATTGAGGACCGTACGTTTGAGTATCCCAGCAATTACCAAGGTTGCTAATGGCAAAGTAGGCTTTCCCGTCACTGAGTACGGTGGTACGAAGTCGATACTAATCTCCACTCGAACTGTTATCGGCGGCCAAAATCCCTTTATGGGGATCGCGTATGTAGTCGTCGGTGGTGTCTGCATTGTTCTCGGCGCGCTCTTCACCATTGCTCACTTAGTACGACCCAGGTACGCATTAAAGCCTCAATTGGCCATTCTGCAGCTCGAAAACCACACTGCTAATCCGCGCTTTATCCAGAAAACTCGGTGACCACACCTATTTGACCTGGAACAACGATTATGGCAGTCCTGCTACCTCAACTGGAAGAGATGGCAGATTTGGATCCCATGCTCCATAGGGATTTCCTGGTGTTCGTTTCGTCGTCTCTTTCATAGGAATGTAATGTGTCTTTTCCTTCTTTTTTTTTAAGACTGTCTTTTCTTTACATGGTAATCGCGCCAGTAAAATCGGATTCTGATGTTTTTGATGCCTTTGTTCACGGAGTTGCTTGGCTCATGTCCTCATATTTGTCTACACCAAATTGATTGAAGCTACCAAATCAGTTGCTGTTCTCATCAGACGCATCCCTGGGAAGGCTGCTTCTGTTCTCCCCATCCGGGCATCTACCCCTAGCTACGGCATTCTCGAGCACCTAGGATTCCTGTGACCAAGTTGTTATACTTGGCTAGCGACACATTCCACGTAGCTGTTGGTAACAGCTTGCTGTTCTTTTATTTCACTCGGGTATTCCTTCAAAGGAAACTATTATCTTATTCAAGAAACCAGTATGGCTCGGAATTTCATATGCCCTTTGTTGGTGCTCATCATGATGGGTATGCAGGTCTTGTGCGGCGCGTCGTCTTTAGACCGCGGTTTCTGTGCCACGCCTGCGCCCAGCGAACGACTGAAAGCAGAGTTTAGGAGGCTGAGCATGTCAATACCACGAACGAACTCGAGTTTTGTATATGAGACCCGAGAGGCCGAAAGCACGATTGAAATAGAAACATGGTTTCATATCGTGAGCAGCCAGGCTGCGGCCAACTCGGTTTCGGACCAGATGATAGCCTCCCAGGTTTGTTTTGTCCTATCACCTAGGTCCCTGTCCCTACAAATTAACTCGAGTGTAGTTGATCTATCTACAAAAGGCATATGAGAATGCCACCATATCTTATCGCCTCAAAGGCATTACTCGTCATGTGAATGATACATGGGCCCACAATCAGGATGAAATTGCCATGAAGAGTGCTTTGCGCCGTGGGAGTTACAGCACTCTTAATGTTTATTTCCAGACAGATCTTCAGATTTCATCTGATGGAGGTGCTCGAGCATTGCGCGATGTCTCTGCGCGACAGATGGGAACTCTATCGTCCAGCGTACTCGGCTTCTGCACTCTGCCTGACCCAAGCATGAATGCCAGTAGCCCACGTTCCACCTATATAAAGGACGGCTGTAACGTCCTGGCCAGGACTATGCCCGGAGGTTCCTTAGCGCATTACAACCGAGGAGGAACGGCCGTCCACGAGATTGGGCACTGGAACGGACTTCTCCATACATTTGAAGGAGACACTTGCTCATCCAATAACGAAGGCGACTATATAGACGACACCCCACAACAATCTGAACCGACTAATGGTTGTCCGGCTCAGAAAGACTCATGTCCAGACCTCCCTGGTCTGGATGCAATCCACAATTTTATGGACTATTCATCTGATGATTGCTACGAGAACTTTACACCTGATCAAATTGAGAGAATGAGGAACATGTGGTTTTCCATGAGGGCAGGGAAGTGAAGGAGTAGAGACACGTCGAGGTTTACTGCATATAGTTTGTACACAGCACCCCAGGGCTACTCCTACACACGTATCATTTTAGAAACGTCAGCTGTTATATTACTTGGTCGCAGTTGCGCGTGTCAAGCGGACCCTAAGAGTTTGCGGTAAATGTCATACCGATCAATGGGTACGAGAAATCCATATGTGACTGCATTAAGATGGTAGCACATCAGGTTGTGATCACAGTAGTGATAGTAGTAGAAGCAGTGGCAGGAGTGGTAGTCGCCATGCCAAAGCCAAACATTTCATCTCAACTATCGCTTTCGTTTCTTGCCCCGCTCCTCATCGTCCAAACCACCTTCCCTGTCCTTCTTCTTCGCCTTCAATTCGAGCTCGTCCCAATCCTCACCGCTCTCTTCATCAGCACTGAAGTCATCACTTGCTTCAGCACTAGCATCATCATCAAATTCGCTATCATCTTCCGAGCTCTCGTCCGCAGCCGCAAGCTCGGATTCGGAGAGTTCAAACGCGGACTCCTCTTCCTCGTCCGATCCGCCCTCAGAGTCGGATTCTGCTGCCAAGAACGACCAACCTCCATCCACAAAGAATCCGTAGGGATCACTCACTACTGTCTTCATGATAGTGGTCCAGTTTAGATTCAGGGGGCCTTCTGTGAAAGCTAGGTCGACAGAATCCAACCAATCTTTCACACCCTCCAACGACTCAACGGGAATGGTGTTGATGTGCACGGGCGCCCGGTGGAAGTCCTTGAAAACAAAGACAAGGTCAAAGTTTTTGAGTCCAAACTGTAGAAACATTAGAGTCGACAAGACCAGTGAAGAGATCATAACTTACCTGTACTCTTTCTAGGTGAGCAATTTCAACTTCGTTAAGAGTGATCACCAAGAACGGGGGCTCAGTCAGTTGGACGAGAGCGTCTGTAGTAGGCTGAATTAAGACATTTGACCGGTTGGGAACACCAGTAAAGCCGATTTCTCTGAATGGGATGTCAACGTCGACTCCTTCGTCTTTGCCAGCATCCGCGATCTTTTCAGCAAACGCCTTGAACTCGCGGTCCAACGCTGCTCTTCGTCGCCGTTCTTCTTGTTCAGCCTCAAACTCCTCTTCGTCCCCATAACGGTGTTTACGTCTGCGGTTCCCAGTCTCATCGAACTGCATCTCAGTAGCTTCCCTGTAGAATTGAACATCCCTAGTCTTCCTTTTCCCTATCAGTATAGGTGTCTTCAGATGGACGTGTATCAAGACGATCAACTCATGAGCGCATGGTTGGAAAAAAAGATGCTTCACATTGCTGAAAAGCACATCGACGTGTTCATTGCGGAAGGGCGACATATAGCGAAGGCCGTTCTGATGTATCTCAACCTCACCAGGGACTCGCTTCCCGTCCAAAGGTGGCCGCAGATAAACGTCAGGTAATTTGACAGGACGACGGTCTAAAATGGTTATCCTGAATCCTTGCGTAGTCAATCTCTGAGTCACTTACTCCTGATTTCAATCAATTTGTCCTGCTCGACCACATCCTCCATTTCCTTCTTTTCTTGCTCACGTCGCAGTGCATTTTTCCGAAGCTCTGTGATATCTTGAGCCACCTGGGCGAGTCGATTGTTATCTTTAGACCTAAGAGTCAAGTTCCGTAGAAAATGTGCCGAGAGATCCTCGAAGGGCTGATCATCTTTCCTGCCAACACCTTGGCCTGGTGATAGAAAGTTGATTCTCAGGTAGGCATATTCCCCCTCGTCACTCTTGCTGGCATTCTTGATGGTATTGATATGAAATGGGACAGGTCGGCCCATGATAGGGACGATGACCGTGGAGGCCTTGTGGTCGACATAGAT